CAGTTAAAATAGGCCAAGATCAACTGGGCAAGGTGGCTCATGCCTGTAATCCCAGCAATTTGGGAGAACGAGGCGGGCATATCATCTGAGGTCAGGAGTTCAAGATCAGCCTCTCCAACATAGCGAAACCCCTTCTCTACTAAAAATACAAAAATTAGCCAGGCATGGTGGCATGCACCAGTAATCCCAGCTACTCAGGAGGTTGATACAGGAGAACTGCTTAAGCCCAGGAGGTGGAGGTTGTAGTGAGCTAAGATCACGCCACTGCACTCCAGCCTGGGCAACGGAGCAATACTCCATCTAGAAAAAACACAGGCTGGCCAGGCACAGTGGCTCACACCTGCAATCCTAGCACTTAGGGAGGCCGAGGCGGGCAGATCACGAGGTCAGGAGTTTGAGGCCAGCCTGACCAACATGGTGAAACCTCATCTCTACTAAAAATACAAAAATTAGCTGGGCATGGTGGCACACACCTGTAATCCCAGTTACTCAAGAGGGTGAGGCAGGAGAACTGCTTGAACCTGGGAGGCAGTGGTTGCAGTGAGCCGCGATCATGCCACTGCACTCTAGCCTGGTTGACAGAGCAAGACTCAGTCTCATAAAAAAAAATATATATATATATACACACACATACACATACACACCCCCCCATATATATATACATATACACACACACACAAGAATACACACACATATACACACATACACAAGTATACACATACATATACGCACATATATGCGCGCCAAGATCAACAGAGTTCCTAAAGAAAGTCCAACAGCTCTTAAGCACATGACAGTGAACTCAGAAATGCACTTATTTCTCACCTTTTCAATTAGCAGAAGTTCAAAGTTTGAAAACTACTCTATTAGTGAAGCTATTTGGAAAACAGGGACTCACATAGCTATTGGGAATGTAAACTGGTACAACCCTATAAATAACTGAGCAACATCTATCAAAATGACATATGCATATATCCTCTGACCTAGCAATATCACTTCTGGGAATTTAGCCTACAGATATTCATCGTGCAAGGCTGTTCATTACCGCAATGCTTATCACTGCAAAAGAACAGAAATACAACAGATATCCATCCACAGGGGACTCAATTATTATGGTATTATTCAATACCAACCATACAACAGAATACCAGGTATTTGAAAAAATAAAAAACAAAGAATGTTCTGTCCTAGTAAGGAACGATCTTCAAGCTCTATTGTTACATGAAAAAGCAAGATATACAACAGTGTGTGTAGAATGCTCTTCTGAGGAAGAAAAAAAAGGGGGGGGCTGTAATAAGAATGTCTTTTTATTTGCTTGAATTATTAAAGAAACGCCTACCACTTTGTATATTATTTTTGAACCGTGTGAATGTACTACCACTTTGGGTAGACTGCGTAATTGGCCCCGATTCTTCACCCCTCCCTGTGTCCACACCCTTGCCATGGCCTCACTGTGGGAAGAAAGTACTTTCCCACCCTTTGACTTAGCTTGGTCATTTGACTTGCTTTGATCAATGATAAAGGGGTGGAAATGATGGTATGCCAGTGGCTTGCCAGAAATCAGAATGTGGCTTTACATATGAAATCTACAGTATCTTATGCTATCGTATGTAAAGCCAGAGTACTCAAGTCATTACGGTACTGGTATTGTATTTCACAAATCGTACACTGGATGAAAATAGAGAATCCAGAATTAGATCCCAGAATATACGCAAGTTTAACATGAGAGCTCAGTTCAATTCAATAGAAAAAGACTGATTGGCTGGGCATGGTCACTCACACCTGTGATCCCAGCACTTTGGGAGGACAAGGCGGGCAGACTGAGCCCAGGACTTTGAGACCAGCCTGGGCAACATGGAGAAACCCTATCTCTACAAAAAATACAAAAATTAGCCAGGTATGGTGGCACATGCCTACAGTCCCAGCTACTCAGGAGGCTGAGGTGGGAGAATCACTTGCCCCAGGAGGTCCAGGCTCCAGTGAGCTGTAATTGCACCATGGCACTCGACTCTGGGCAATGGAGCGAGGCCCAGTCTCAAAAAAAAAAAAAAAAAAAAAAGAATAAGGCAATGTTTAATAGTGCTGGCACAACTAGGCTACCCACCTAAAGAAAATAAAATTGAACCTTTATCTTATACCAGATACAAAAATAAATTCACTGCAGATTAAGGAATAAGGGTAAAAAAAATTTAAAAATATTGCAAAAAAAAGAAGAAAACACATGCACTATCAAGAACCGAGGAGACTTCCCCTAGTGAAGTCTGCAGACCTAGAAGGTATTTTAAAAAAGACATAACTGATGATCTAAAAATGAAAAATGTATGTATAAAAAATTTTTTTCAAAAGAGAAAAAAGGAAATATTTGCATGGAAAATGATACCACAAAGTCAACAGACAAAAGATTACTCTGGAAAAAATTATTTTCAATGCAGGAGACAAGATTAGTAGTTAAAACATACAAAGGGCCAGGCACGGTGGCTCATGCCTGTAATTCCAGCACTTTGGGAAGCTGAGGCAGGTGGATCACTTGAGGGTACGAGTTTGAGACCAGCCTGTCCAGCGTGGCGAAACTCTCTCTCTACTAAAAATACAAAAATTAGCCAAGTGTGGTGGCAGGCGCCTGTAATCCCAGCTACCTGGGGGGCTGAGGCAGGAGAATCACTTGAACCAGGAAGGCAGAAGTTGCAGTGACCTGAGATCACACCACTGCACTCCAGCTCCAGCCTGGGAGACAGAGTGAGACTCCATCTCAAAAAATAAATGTATGCAAAGAACTCCTACAGATTGACAAGAAAGGAGTTTCCACTTCTGGTAATGACAAGGGAACTTGTATCAGACCAACCCTCATGTAAATTCTGAGTAAAATGTTTACAATGATCTGAGTGCACTGGCAGGAACTGGAAAACAACACTTAGAAAAACAGAACAACACTGGGTGAAGTACGCATCTTTATAAGATTTTTGCCTAAAGCTCCAGGGATAGAAATCTAGCACCATGGGGACCCCACATTCTGAATATAGTATCTTCCCACATCTCTGGCCTCCCCCGAACCACACGTGCACAAAGCAGACACAAAGCAGCCCAGTTACGGCTAAAAAAAGCAGAGATTTCAGTTACTGCCCATCAAAGGGGAGACAGAATTTGGGCTGTAAGCTTAGCCAAGTAAACTACCTAAGAAAACCAAATAAATAAAGAACTTAAAAGAATTCATCATCTCTGGCTGGGTACGGTGGCTCAAGCCCATCATCTCAGCACTTTGGGATACCGAGGCAGGTGGATCACCTCAGGTCAGGAATTTGAGACCAGATTGGCCAACATGGCGAAATTCCATCCCTCCTAAAAATACAAAAATTAGCAGGTGGTAACGCACACCTGTAATCCCAGCTACTCTGGAGGTTGAGGCAGGAGAATCACTTGAACCTGGGAGGTGGAGGTTGCAGTGAGCAGAGACTGCACCACTGCACTCCAGCCTGGGTGACAGAGCAAGACTGTCTTTTTAAAAAAAAAAAAAAAAAAAAAAAAAAAAAGAAAAAACTAATAGTCTGTGGGAAATACCATTCACACTGCCTACAATACAACCTCTACGTTGGAGTGTAAAGAAAATGTGACCCAGATGTGAAAACTGCACAAAAGGACCTTAAAGCAGCTCTTATAACTATGCTCAAGGATGTCAAGAAGCCTCAATAGAACAGAAATTATAAAAGAGCACAAATCCTACATCTAAAAATACTATATTGAAAATTCAACATTTCATCCACTTTAATGGCAGATTGGAGAGAGTTGAGGGCATCTATCAACTTGAAACTGGATACACACAAATTATTCAATTTGAAGAACAAAGACAAAAAAAAAATTAGGGAAAAAAAATGAAGAGAGCCTTAGGAACCTGCCTGACAATATGAAAAGGTTATGTGTATAGCTGGTGTCCCAGACGGACAGGAGAAAAAGAATGGGGTAGAAAGAACTCGGAGGAGGCCGGGTACGGTGGCTCATGCCACCAATTCCAGCACTTTGGGAGGCTGAGGCAGGAGGATCACTTGCTCCCAGGAGTTTGAGGCTGCAATGCGCTATGATGGCACCACTGCACTCCAGCCTGGGTAACAGAGCAAGACCCTATCTCTAAAAATAAATAAAAAACATCCGTTTATTTCGCTGTATATAATTTATATATAAATTTTTAAAAAGCAAGTGTTTTTATCCAAAAACTGCTTGGCTCAGAGTAATTCTTCTATAAATGTTAGTCGTTATTCTGCTAAATCACAGAACATCAGTTTAGAAATCACTGGACTGGGCGCTGTGGCTCACACCCCTGTAATCACAGCACTTTGGAGGCTGAGGCGAGCTGATCACCTGAGGTGAGGAGTTTGAGACCAGCCTGGCCAACATGGCAAGACCCCATCCCTATTAAAGATACAAAAATTAGGCAGGCATGGTGGCAGGTGCCTGTAATTCCAGCTACTTGGGAGCCTGAAGCACGAGAATTGCTTAAACCCAGGAGGCAAGGGTTGTAGTGAGTTGACATCACGCCACTGCACTCCAGCCTGGTGACAGAGAGAGACTCCATCTCAAAAAAAAAAAAAAAAGTGTTCTTTGAACACGCTTCTTCCCTACCTTCGGGGCTTAGCACAGGTTTGGTGTTGTCTGGAATGTTCTTGTCTCACACCCCTCCTAGGATCATGGCTACTCATTCCTCTGGTCTTAGCCTAAATGGTATTTCCTCCGGTAAGGCTCGCCTGACGCTCCCAGGCCAACAGTCAAAGTAATATATCCTATTACACATCCCCACAGCACCCTGGGCTGCCAGCCTTGCTGCTGTAATGAAATTGCACTTCTTCGACTGTTGTCCATTTCCCCCAGGGCACTAAAAGTCAGAAGGGCACTGGCTTTGTTCTGCTCACTGCTCAGTTCCCTATACTCAGCACAGGGCCAAGGACCCAGCTGCTGGGGACAAAAAGCAGAGAGGAGTGTCTCCCACTCCTGCCTTCCCCTTCCCCGCATACCGCTTGGCTCGTTCCAGGTCGTCATTAGCTTGCTCCAGCTCTCTGATGTATTTCTGCAATTGGTCTTTAATGGCTTTGGTCTGTGCGAGGTCATCCTCCAAGGCTGAGATCTGCCGGTAGCCTTCAGAGTGCTGCACTTCAAACTTCTCCTGAAGGACAACACAGACACTGGGTGAATGACTTCTGAGGCGGCTAGATGCAGTAGCACATACCCACCTGGAGTCACAGTTACTCGGGGGGCTAAACTGGGAGGACTGCTTGAGCCCAGGAGTTAGAGCCTGCAGTGAGCTATGACTAACACTGCACTCCAGCCTGGGCAACATATCAAGACCCTGTATCTTTCTATTTATTTATTTAGAGACCGAGTCTCTTGCCCAGGCTGGAGTGCAGTGTCGAGATCTTGGCTCATGGCAACCTCTGCCTCCCAGGTTCAAGCAATTCTCCTGCCTCAGCCTCCCGAGTGGCTGGGAATACAGCCACCCACCACCAAGCCTGGCTAATTTTTTTATTTTTAATAGAGACCAGGTTTCACGATGTTGGCCAGGCTGGTCTCGTACTCCTGACACCTCAAGTGATCCACACACCTCGGTCTCCCAAAGTGCTGGGATTACAGGTGTGAGCCACAGCGCCCGGCCTGACTCTGTCTCTTTATGAAACTCCTCCTCCCACCACACTCCCTGGGGAGGCTCCAGGCTTTCTGTCCCACCCTCCCACCACAATCGAGAGACAAGCTAGGCTCAGGCAACAGAACCTTCTTCTCTCCAAAGAGCTGACTCTTAGGCAAGTGACGTAATGTGGTGGGAACAGGCAGGTGTCATTCAGAGCAGGCACAAGGAATCAACTGTTTTAATTACGTCCTGAGTGCCTCCACCCCCCGAGCACCTTGAATCCTGCCTACACTCAACAGGGTTGAGATTCCTATAGCCCCCAACATTCTTCAGACAAATCATTCTGCCCAAGGTGTCCACAGCCAAAGAAACCCACATAAACCTCTCCAAGCCTCATCCACAGGGCAACGTGGGTCTCCTTCACACACACTATCAGTGTATTACAAAAAGAGTCACCAGCTTGGCCCACAAAGTGAGACCTGGTCTCTACAAAATACACAAATTAGCAGGGCGTGGTGGCTCTCAACTGTAGTTCTAGCTACTCAGGAGGCTGAGGTGGGAGGATCATTTGAGTCTGAGAGGTCGAAGCTGCAGTGGGATGTGATGGCACCACTGCACTCCAGCCTGGGCAACTCCCTGCTGTCTGAAAAAAAAAAAAAAAAGAAAGAAAGAAATCATAATGACGTCCACTGTTTGTGCCCACAAGAATGGGAAGGCAGCATGTACTGGTTTTACAACAGTCAACCATTCTCTATGTTTGATCCAGGACTCCCCGTTGTAGCTTGGAGAAAGAAGGAACAGTTTGATCTCTAGGTTACTTAAAAACAAAGACAGGCCGGGCACGGTGGCTCACACCTGTAATCCCAGCATTTTGGGAGGCTGAGGCGGGCAGATCACCTGAGGTCAGGAGTTCGAGACCCACATGGACAACATGGTAAAACCCGGTCTCTACTAAAAATACAAAAAAATTAGCCAGGTGTGGTGGTGCGTGCTTATAATCCCAGTTACTCAGAAGGCTAAGGCAGGAGAATCGCTTGAACCCGGGAGGCGGAGGTTGCGCCACTGCACCCCAGCCTGGGCATTGAGTGAGACTCCATCTAAAAAAAAACAAAACAAAAAACCAGAAACACAAAGAAATAAAAAGAGAGAGGGAGAAAGGGAGGGGATAAGAGAGAGGGAGGGAGGGAGAGGGAAGGAAAGGGAGAAAGAGAGATCTATGTTAATTACCAAAGGAACAGTCCAGCTCACTTCTCAATGATTCCCTGTTGCCAGCTGCAGCAATAACATCCATTACATGCTTATTCTGTGCCGGCCTCCGGGTTACGTACGCCACCTATCTTGTCTCATTCATCCCACTTCAGACATGAGCACTGAGGCTCAGTTCCTTAACTAGCCCAGAATCAACTAGTAGCAAATGACTGAGCCAAGATCAAACCCCAGCCTCCTGAGCAGGTGTCCTTAAGCAATTATGCTAACAAACCCTCAACCATTTCCATCCAGATCACCTGCCAACTCCCGTGCTCTCTCGATTCTGTTCCCGCTGCCTCCAAATTACTTTCCTTCACCAAACACTCAGAGCCAGGTGCGGTGCCTCCTGCCTGCAATCCCAGCACTTTCAGGTGGCAGAAGCAGGAGGAACGCTTGAAACCTGGCGTTCTTGACCAGCCTGGGCAAGACTCTGCCTCTACAAAAAATCTGAAAACAGCCAGGCATGGTGGCGTGCATCTGTAGTCCTAGCTGCTTGGAAGGGTGAGGCGAGAAGATTGCTTGAGCCCAGGAGGTTGAGGCTGCAGTGAGCTATGATCACGCCACTGCACTCCAGCCCAGGCCACAGAGTGAGACCACAACACTTAAAAAAAAAAAAAAAAAAAAAAAAAGAAAAAGAAAAAAGCACAAAAAAATAAAAACAAAAACACCCCAAAATCACCAGCCTGGCAAGATGGCGAAACCCTGTCTCTACTGAAAAAACAAAAAATTAGCCAAGCATGTTGGCGGGTGCCTATACTCCCAGCTACTTGGGAAGCTGAGGCAGGCGAATCACGTGAACCCGGGAGGCGGAGGTTGCAGTGAGCTGAGATCGTGCCATTGCACTCCAGCCTAGGCAACAAGAGTAAAACTGGCGGTGGTGGGGGATGGAGAGTGGGGCGTGGGGTGGGGGACTGGGAGGGGGCAGGCAGGCACACTGACCAACTGTTTCAATTATGTCCTGAGTGCCTCCCACCTCCCACCCCCTGAGCACCTTGAAACCTGCCCACTCCCAAATCTGCTTCCTACAGCCCCCAACAATCTTCAGACAAATCATTCTGCCCAAGGTGTCCACAGCCAAAGTCACAAGGACCTCTCCAAACCTCATCCACAACGACAACGCAAGCCTCCTTCCCACATTATCACTGTATTACAAAGAGGCACCAGCCTGGCCCACAGAGCCAGACTCGGTCTCTACAAAAAATAAAAATTAGCAGGGCATGGTGGCCTCGCCTGCAGTCCCAGCTACTCAGGAGGCTGAGATAGGAAGACCATTTGAGCCTGGGAGGTTGAAGCTACAGTGAGCCGTGATTGCACCACTGCACTCAAACCCGGGCAACAGTGAGACCTTGCCGTTTCAAAAAAAAAAAAAAAGGAATCTCAATGACTTCTGTTCTTTGTGCCCACAACAATGGGAAGGCAGCATGTACTTGGTTTACACAACAGTTAACTATTCTCAATTTTTCATCCAGGACTCCCCGTTGTAGCATGGAGACAGAAGGAACATTCCATTCTCTGGGTTATTTAAAAACAAAGGCCGAGAGTGGTGGCTCATGCCTGTAATCCCAGCACTTTGGGAGGCTGAGACAGGTTGGTCACCTGAGGTCGGGAGTTCGGAGACCAGCCTAGACAACATGGTGAAACCCTGTCTCTACTAAAAATGCCAAGAAATTAGCCAGGTGTGGTGGTGCGTGTCTATAATCCCAGCTACTCGGGAGGCTGAGGCAGGAGAATCACTTGAACCCAGGAGGCGGAGGTTGCAGTGAGCAGAGATTGTGCCACTGTACTGCAGCCTGGGTGATGAGCAAGACTCCGTCTCAAAAAAAACAAAAAACAAAGAAGGGAGAAGGAGGAAGGAAGAGGAAGAAGGGATCAAGGACAGAGGGAGGAAGAGAAAGGGAGAGAAAAGGAGGAGAGATCTTGTTAATTACCAAAGAACAGTCCAGCTCACTTCTCAATGATTCCCTGTTGCCAGCTGCAGCAATAACATCCATTACATGCTTATTCTGTGCTGGCTTCCAGGCTGCGTACACTTCCTATGTTGTCTGGTTTAATTCCACTTCAGAAACATCAACACTGAGGCTCAATTACCTACCAAGCCCAGAGACCCATCGGTGGCAAATGACTGAGCCAAGATCAAACCCCAGCCTCCTGAGCAGGTGCTGTCTCTTATACACATCTAGATGTGTATAAGAGACAGGTTGAGGGCATCTATCAACTTGAAACTGGATACACACAAATTATTCAATTTGAAGAACAAAGACAAAAAAAAAATTAGGGAAAAAAAATGAAGAG